GGGGGGGCGGGGCCCGGGGGGGGGCCGGGGCGCGGGTTGCCGCTGCCGGTGTCTCCCTCGCTGGGAGGCGGGTGAGGTGCCGGGAAGGCGAGATGGGCAGCGGGGGAAGCCCTCTCCTTGGGGGCGCCTGCCCTCTGAGCGTGCAGGGTTCTTGCTCTCCCGCCAGTGTTCAGCCTACAGGACCTCTGCTGCCGTGCGATCGTGTCCTGCACCCCGGTGCACCTCATCGACAAGCTGCCGCTGCCCGTCACCATCAAGAGCCACCTGAAATCCTTCTCCATGGCCAACGGCATGAACGCGGTGATGATGCACGGCCGGTCGTACTCCGTGGCCAGCAGCGGGGGCGGGAGCAGCAGCAAAGGCAACAGCCTGAAGAGATCCAAGTCCATCCCCCCGCCCCAGAGCCCGCCCCAGAACTGCTCCCGCAACAACTGCAAGATCTCGTAGCCAGGCGCACGGGACCCTGGGGGCGGGGCGGTGCCTCGGAGGGCGTGCACGGCCCATGGATCGCCGGGGTCCCCCCCAGCTGGCGCCGTGGGAGCCTGGAGGAAAGCTGTGGGCTTCTCCTCTGCCCGGCTGGGAACCTCGGCAGCTGCCGGCTTGGGGGAGGGACGCACCTGCAGCCCTGGCGGAGGCAGGGATTTAGGGAAGATCAGAGGCGTGGGGGGAAAGGGGTCTGCGCTGCAGCCGTGGCTCTTGGCTCCCCGAGGGGCTGCGGGTGCCGTCGGAACCGTGGCCGTCGGCAGGTGCAATGGGGCGTCAGGTGATGGCGTTGGCTTGCCATGGCCAAGAGGCCGGGGCCGGCTGCTTGGAGTCGGAAGGAAGCCGCCTGCGGCCGTCTCCACTTATTTATCTACAGATGCTGTGCCGGGGGCTGCCTGTTTTAACGCGGGGGGGTTTAAGGAGCAGTCGGGGCCAATGTTCTGTGGCCATGTAATAGGAGCAGGGCCCCAGCGAAGGGGGCGGGGGTCTTAGGGTGAATCTCTTGCAGGGACTGTGCCGACAGCTGCACGGGCCTGCTCTGGGGGGTGTTTTAATACTGGGCGTGCGAAAGGAGCCAGCGGGGCGTGTGCCCCACGCCAGAGCCTGCCTGCACTCTGGAACCAAACTCCCAACAGCATTGCAGCTGGGGGCTGCCCTGGCCAGCAGCGTCAGTCCCACCAGGTCTTAGGCCCCCAAAGGCAGCTGGGCCCGTGTCTGTGTTCCCATGACCTGGCAGGGTTGCGGGGCAGGGCTGGCCTGGAAGGAAACGCTTCTGCTGGGTCTGCAGTGGTCCCAAGCTTTCCTCCCCGGCTCGTTGCTCCTTCCCCCAGCTCCAGTGCTGCTGTCACCTCCTCCCACGCACCCTCCTGGGCCCCCAAGAGCAGGGGCACTTTGAGCTGTCCCTGAAGCCAGGGCCATGGATAGCCATGTCCTCTTTCCAAGGGCCAGCTGGCTGTGGGGGGTGCGCTGCTTGCGCTGGAGCGCGCAGGTTGGGCTGGTTTTCTGGCCCCGAGGGGTTGGGCGGCCTCTCTAGTGAGCTGTATGCGTGGGGGAGGCGTGCAGTCTGTCGCATCTCGCAGCAGCGTCCTCTCCTTGGCCCCGTAGCAACGGGGCTTCCAGCTTTCCCCTCTGCTCCCAGACGCCGTGCCCAGTCCTCAAGCTGGAGAGGCCGCTGGCTGTGGGTGGGAGCTTGGTCCGGGGGGACACTGCGGTGTGGTGGCTGGCTCTTGGGGCCCCCAGCCAGGAGTTTTCCCGGGGCTTTCGGGATTGTCTGAGCTGCCTTGGGTTGCTCTGTTCTGCCTCCTTGCTTAGGAAACTGACGCTGGCGCCTGCCCACCCGCGCGCTCGCAGCCCGTCGCCCATCAGCAAGGCCAGCTGGAGGCTGCCACCCTGACGCAGCTTGGTACGTGGGCAGGATGAGGCTGCTGCCGGCTGCCCGCCCCCTCTGGTCCGCGCCACACCCCAGAGAACACCACCCCTCGCCCAGCTGGTGGGCAGGAGCCCTGCCAGCCAAGCGCCAATGCGGGAGAAGGGAACGTCTTGTGGCCGTGATTCACACTAAGAACCGGAGCTGCAGCCAGGCTCAGTGCTGTCGCGGGAGGCCCGGGGATTTCTAGAGCCGCTCCGTGGCACACCCGCTGCTCCGTATCCCTGCGCAGGGAGCAGCCGCTGCCAGGCCGCCCAGGGACAGATGGCTAACAGGTGACAGGAGGCAACCGCACCACTACCCCGCCCTGTAGAATGACCTCGGGAGCAGCCCTCGAAGGAATTTGGTTTCCATTAGACCGTTACTTTTGAGGGGCTCCCACAATTAACGAACCCCCTACGTGTGGCCTCTCTGGGGGACACAGTGGGGTGGGGAGGAGACGGAAGACGTCATTCTAGGGAAGAAAAGATGCTGCATGTCTAGAAACACTTAACTACCTGTGGATGGGTGTCCCCTGTAAATGAAACCCTCGCCCCGTCAGGTTTCCCCTGTAGAGCCTCGGCAACTCCTGCCCAACAGGAAAGTTCTCCCGGACCTGGCACGTGTGCTGTTCAAACGCCTCTTGTTTTCTTCCTTGGAAAGAAAGCGGTTGCGGCATCCGATCTCAACACTAGTCTTTAGCTGCTGTCTGACACTCGGACCATTCCAATGTCACTTGGGACTCTGTTCCCTTTGTACAGTCTGTGGTTCAACCGTTTTATATAAATTAAAGTCTTTGGTTGTTTTAAACTACGGTGCTGGGTGTGGCCAGTCTGTGCGGCGCGGGGCTGCTGCCTTGGCCTGGCCTGGGGTGGGCGTGGGCTGCGGCAGGGCTCACGGGGGCTGGCAACGTGCTCCCCGGATTGCCCAAAACCCGGGAGACTCTGTCCTTTCTCGGTGGTTTGACCTCCAGGGTCCTGCTCGCATTCCCCCGCTCTCCAAAGCTCCCTGGTGGCGCTGGCAGCGGATTCTCCCGTGGGCGTGGGCCATGGGGCTGGTGCTTGAAGAGCAACGTGGACTCTCCTGAGCCTGGCGAGCGAATTCCCGCAGCTCTGCCGCCCCTTTGTGGCTCTGGAGCCTGGAGAAGCTCTGACCCCCACTGCTTGCAAGTAGGGGAAACTCCCTGGGCGGCGGTCGGTTGCGGGCCACCAGTGCGATGGAGCCCTGCTCTGCCGCCAGCGTGGGCCTGGGGCCGCTCCCCCGACTCAGGCTTCCTGGCCCCTGGGAGGAGAGCAGGCTCTGGCCCTCGGCGAGGGGGTTTCAGAAGCAAGCTGTGTCTTGGCTCCACTTTCTGCGGTTTGCCGTCCCCACAAACCTTGCAGGCCTGCCTGGGCCCAGCTAGAACAGTGACCCATGGTGGCCATGGGATGAGGCTCTCGCCGTCGGGGAGAGGAACAGCGTGTCTCGGCCTGACCCTTCCTCCATCACCCCTAAGGCAGCAGGGACCCGGGTGCTCCTGTGGCCTTCCTCCTCCCCTCCCCGCCTCTCTGGGGTCGCGTTTCCACTCTGAACCCTTGGCCAGGCTTGTTTTAGCAGCTTGCCGGGCTGGCGGCGGGAAACCAGAGCACGGCTGAAGCCTGGAGAACCCCCATGGTGGGGGCAGGCCGAGGGCGCAGACATGCCTCTTGTTTTCCAGGCAGGTGCGTTAAGGGCCCTGTGCTGTCTCCCCCCAGGAGCCCGAACAAAGGGCTTGTGTGATTTCAGGTGGGGAAGGAGCGGCGGGAGGCCCAGGATGAACTGATCAGGACGGGGCCTCTCTAGCACTTAGCTGCCCCGGCGCCGGGTGAGAATCACTTTTCGTTTAACCCAGCGTCCGCTCCTGCGCGGAGGGAGACGTGCCAGTGACGCCCCAGCCCACCCGCCAGGCTCGAAGCCAGCTGGCGCCTCGCTGTCGGGGTGACAGGGCCCTGGGCGGCAGGCCCACGGTGCCCCGGCAATCTGCTGGCAAGCCCCACATCCCCCTGGCTAGTGCCCTGCGGCTCAGTCCGGGCCTCTCGCGCATCTGCTCTGCTCCCCCCCCTCCAGCCCCCGGGGAGCGCCCCCCGGTCTGGAGCCGGAGCTCGGCCCAGGGGCTGGGGGGGCGTCAGGTCAGGCACCTCTGCCCCCCGGCCGCCGGGCAGGGCAGGAGTAGCTGGAGCTCAGATCAAACAGCGGAGGAAATAGCTGCTGGGTCTGTGGCCTCCCCGGGGAAACGGGCTCTCGTCAGCCCTTCAGCTGCCCCTGGGCTTTGGGTCTCGGCAGCGCGCGGGAGGCGGCTCTGGCACGTGTGAACCCGTGGGCCTGGGGCAGCCCCCCTGGCCCGGGTGGTGGGGTGGCCCCTGGTGGGCTGCTGAGGGCCTGGGCTCCGCTCCCAGCTCTGGGCTTGCCAGTCTCTGCAGCAACCTCCCAGCCGCTTGCCCTTGCTACCGCCCGGGGGGGGGGGGGGGGGAGAAACACCGGTGGTTTTTC